AAAAAGCATTTAGAACTCATTTCACTCCCTTTTCTCGTATTTGTAGTAACAACAAAATAAATCCATCACTTAATGAAATTTACATATTCAAATCCCAAGTGTACAAACACTTTCTGAACACACTGTATGCCCATGCATATGCATGTGTGTGGATGGCAATCCTTTGGCAACAACTCACCTTAACTTCCTGGCACAGCTCGTCCACTGGGAGTTTCAGCTTGTATGTGACCTTGTCGAAGAGAAATGCGTAAACAACTTTGATTAAATTGTGCAATCAATCAAGTGCAATTTTTTTCCCCCTGATTGTCTCTGTTCAGGCACTCATACAATCACACCATCAGACATGCGAATACATGTGCACATTCCATGGAAAACTTACATTTATTCCATGCTCTTGGAGCAGCTCCACACACGACTTGTCCACTGCATCGCAGACCAAAACGTTCTTGATTTTTAGCGGCATATTAAACTTTGCCAAAAAAGAGCTGGAACGGTCAATTGTCTTGTTTGAATGAGAGATATATGTAGTACACCTTCCGCAACACGCGATCTGCTCGAGGGGCGAAACGATTTTTAAATGACTTCCAGCGCGAGAGCAGACGGCCATCGAACCTGACTCTGGCCGCTCCGAATGCACTGCGGTCGGCGGCGGCTGATAGCTGGAACGATCGGTGAGAAGAGAGCATTGCACGCCCGCTGACGACTCTCTTTGAAGAAGCTCGCTCTCAGCTCGCCCACACTCATGCCAGCTCTGTGTGTGTGTGGGCTTTCGAAGCGGGAATTCGTTTTGGCGTGCAAAACAACACTTAACCCATGGGGGGACACCGTCACAACACGAGAACCGAGAACTTTTTCAATAAAAAGCACAATATTCCTTAAAGTCCAGTTTTGAAAGATTATACAGCGCCGCTCAACTGAATAGGTTCAACAATTTTCAAAAGTCAAACCGCTATATCTTTTTAACCAACTTGCCGATTTATATGAAATATTTTTTTTTTTGTATAGATTAATTCGTTGTTAATATAGCAAGAAATTTAGTTGTTTCCAGGACACGTTTTTAAAGACTGTTTATTAATTTTTTCAAAACTATCACAAAATAGCCTATTTATTTTATATATATATAAACATACATATATATTTAGAGAATTTTAAAAAGAAAAATTAAATCGTTTCAGATATATTCTCTTCAAAAATATTTCTATATATTTTTTTGTACACTCCTGATTGGGTATTATCCACAATATTCCCATCGTTGAACAGCATTTCGAAAAGAGTACGCGTCCAGAACTATTCCAAGATGTAAACCCAAAAAAAAAATCCTCGAAGCATATCCCATTTATTCTTGTAAACACCAAATAATCGAGGAAAGTGACTTACTTTTTAATTTTTCGTTAAAAAACCCCTCCCCATTGACAAGACACTCCTCTCATGGTTTCAATATTTTTATTGTATTTGCTTTTATTTGCAATTTAGCTTTCATTTAACTACGTATTTTCCAAAAACATATTCCGAACAACAATTGAATGAGGTAAACGAAAACAAAACCAACAAAAACCGAGGCCCGAACTGTCGATCTTTCGTGCTGGAAACTTACAGGGTATTCCATATACCATATGCCATGGGTAGTACAATAAATAAACTAAATAATTCGATAACAAATTTGAAATATCATAAACTATTTACATACAACTTTTGGAAATTGTTGATTTGTTTTAGTTACTGTTTGTTTTTTTTCTTTACAATATGTATAGTTTTTGTATGTATAAAATATGTTATATAAATTTTGGATTCGATTTGGATTGATATTCGTGTGTGTCTGAGTGTGTGTGTGTGTGTGTGGGGGGGACTGGAGTGGGGGCTTCGCTTGGTTAATCATAATATTTTGTTGGTTTTCTAAGAATTATTGAATAGGGAAATCTCAGGCGTGCTCTCTAGTCAAACTTTTCTCTCCCTTCCCTCGTTTAAACTTGTTTTCCAGTTTTAATTTAAATTGAAATTTCTCCTTTTTTTAAGCTAAAAAAATATGGTTTTTGCTTTTGATTAAAGTGGCTTGAAAAGTAGAGAAGTTATTACAGCTAAATAGAATTTATATAGGCATATTTTTCAGTATTTTTTTTCGCTATACAATTTTGCGTGTGTGTGTGGGTTTTGTTTTATTAACTGGAAATAAGATTCGATTATTACAAAAAAAATTGCTCTATATTATAAGCAAACCGGTTGTTGTTTTTGTTTTTTGTTTTGTTTTTTTCATAACGCAGCGATCCTTGGAACTTTGTTTTGCCGATCGATCAGACAGAGGAATTTACATATACAATATATATAATATTAGTGGAATATCTGTATTATCCCGTAAGCTATGTTTCCGAAGATTTTCTTTTGTGCGGGAGCCGCCTCCCCTCTCCTCCCTTGAGATCAGACAAAGTCTCAGCATCAAAGTTCGCTTCGCAGATGTCACTGAACATTATCTGGTACAATTTGTTATAGTTTTCTTTTATAGTTTTATATTTTTTATTTTTCTGGTTTGCTTCGCTTACAAAATGCCGGCTGATCCTCTGTATCTGTTTATCCGTTTAAATTTTGTTAATTATAGTTTGGAACATACGGTACACCTCCATATATGTATGTATGTCCATGTATGGGGGCGTGTATCTCTTTATATGTATGTATATTAGATGTATGTATATTTATATTGAAATACCAGTTCTGTGAATTATGTGCAATATTTTCTTAAGTACACGTGGAGTCGACCTGGCCGAGGAGGATCGTGTCTAGGCTTTTGTCCTCAACATTATGCTAATATTAAAAAGTAATATTTCATATTTCATTGATTTAAGTTTAGCTAATACATAGATCAATTTTGTTTGCCACTTTATACAAGAAGTGCTTGCGTATCGTAGGTTAATCTTTACTTTGCTGCCATCCCCAGTGCCTACCCCTAACGATCCATCCCCCCAACTCCCAACTCTCAACTGGCGGCGGCACTGTTCTCCAGGAAACACTTGGCTCTGATCTTGCTCTTCAAGTCTTGTTCCCATTTTTATCTGCCGCGTAGCTCTCCAAAAAATTTACTTATATCACCTTTTGTGTGTAGTCTCTTACATATAAAAAAGTACTAGATTCTTGCCTTGTTCTTCGCTCCCCTTGTCCTTTGGCCCCTCCCCTTTGGGGGTCCTGGACTTTGGGTTGGGTTCTGGGGCAGTGGCGATCGATTTGAATGCAGTGCTTGGCGCTAGGTCCACGAAATTTTGCTTGGTGGTTGGAATTGTAAAAGGAGTGCTCGTTCGGAATGGGCCAGATCAACGTTTACTTCAACATTTACATATATACTCGTAACACCTACAATACTTGAACAATAATTTTGACGCATACGACTTTAGCGTGTGGAGATGATATGGAAGTGATGGAACTGATGGATGGGCAGGGCAGGGCAGGGCAGGGGAAGTCTGTGAGTGGTGTGTCCTGATGGTTTGATGGTTTTTTAAGGCACTGGTAGTTTAAATCGCTATACCTCTAAGTGGGCTCTGGAATCGATCCCAGTCAGGGCTCGTTCGCTTGCAATCGGTGCGAACTGTGCGTACATTGGCAGGTGTGTGGCATGATATGGTGTGGTGCGGTGTGGCAAGGTAACTAGATCGAAGATATTGCTATAGCTTATAGTGGGCATCAAAACTAGCTGGGAGTACGGGGCCCAAGGCCCAAGGCCCCCTGCCCACTCGCCCGACAGCCTTGAGAGGCCCCGTACTCTCGAGAAGCCCGTACAGGAAGTACATCTATCCGATAGTTAAAGGCTAGTATTGTAGCATTACTAAGGTAGCGGAAGAAGTAGAGGAAGAAATACCAATTTTGGATAGAGGACTGGGGGATAAGACATCGATTTGATACTATCGAAGAGATTTCAATCGGTTTTAAGTCTAACTGAGGGTCAGTGCGTGTCAGTGTCGGTTGTGTGTCGGGTGTGTGTGTGTGTGTGGCTTGACTTAGATTAATACACGTTCACTAAATTATTAAAGCTGACACTTATTCATGTACTTAGTCAATCGATTGCATAACGAATACGAGACGCGAACCCCCTCCCCCCCAAATGGATCAACAAATGCTGCAGGATGATGCTCCTTCCTCGCTCCTCGCTCCTCGCTCCTCCTGGCTAGGACCTTAGACCTAGGACCATTTAATTTAAATAAAATCTGATTACACTTAGCTATAGCATTTAAGACACATAAGGCCCCACTTGGCATTGGGCTTCTTTACTTTCTTTTCACTTTCACTTAACACTCTTTACTCGTTTGTGGCTCCCGGCTAACGAATCGATCTTCGAATGGAACATTTACAGGTGTTTTTTGTCGTGTGTGTGTGTGGGTGTGTGTTTTGGCACTGCTTCCTCTGGCGGGCTCCCAAATCTGTGCTGTGCTGTGCTGCAAAAAAAGCTTAAGGGGTGACGTGACGACTCGAGCGCGCTGAAATCTCTTCAATAGAACCGATCCGAGCCGAGGATATCCTCCTCGTCCTCCTCCAAGATGATCTTGTTGCGGATGGCATGCGTGACAGCCTCGACATTGCTCAGGGATGGAACGGGTCGGAAGGGGTCCCCCCTCGCCGCTCGCGGCGGATGGGCAAAGGAGGTCTCCTGGACTGGGTGGCGGTGGTATTCGGATGATGGGCCCGTGTAGGAGTGGGTGTGCCTGAGGCTGTGCGGCCGGGCCTGGGGATAGGACTGGGGCTGGTGTCGCAGCGGATAGAGCTCGCGGCGCGACCTCGGCTGACTGAAGGAGGTGGTGTGGGCGAGGGAGGAGGCGGAGGAGGAGGACAGCCACTGGCCGCTGGAGTGCGGTTGCGGGTGCAGGGGATTGCCGGTGTGGGTCAGAGGTGGAATGAACGGTCTCATGGGCACTTGTGACAACGGCAGTGGCTTGGGCTTGGGTCTGGGCTGTGGTAGTGGCTGTTGTAGTGGTAGTGGTAGTGGCTGTGGCTGTGGCTTGTGTATCATGTCTAGATCAAAACTATTGTCGCGTGCTTCCTTTAAACCTGGCGCTCTCGAATCGATCTGATCCCACCCCTATATCCACGATTCCTACATGGCATTCAGCATTCTCCTACTACTCCCACCACCTCTGTGCGGACTGTATTCATCGCGATCGACAACGGTGGCGCCGCGCGGCAGGTCGCGCGGATCGTCGATCCTCGTCGATGGCCCGTAGCGGGAGCTGGTCATCCGGATCTGCGGCTCCTCCCGCTCGAACTCCTGGTCGTCCATCAGCCGCCCGCCCCGCGACAGGTGGCCGTGGTGGGAGGCCCCGCTCGGGCCGCTCCGCATCGCCGGATACTCGAAGTTTCGCTCGTCCAGCAGCTCGTCGCTGTTCAGATCGTAGTGCATGAGGTCTCGCTCTCGCCGCTCGTAGCGCTCCCGTTCGCGGTCCCGCTCATAGCCGCCGGCTCCGACGCCACCGCCCCGCTCCTGGTGGCGTCCCGCCGTCGTCTGGCGCCGGCTGTGGTGGTACGAGCCTCCTCCTGCAAAATGTTCAACGCAGACAAGGATTAGAGGGATTCCTCAAGGCCGGAAGGGTATCAGTGTAACGAAAAATCAAAAACATAACCAAAACTAAAGCATTCAAACGTTTCAATAGGCGGCGGGAGGGGGGCCACAAGAGGCCTAGGCCATTAGCTTTTGGGCCTCCAAGAGTGCGATTTTGCTAGGGGGCTACTAGGGCGGGATGGCTAAATATTACCCATATTTTGATGGTCTTTCTATAATTTGACTAAAAACTTTCAAGAGTTGGTTTCAGACCTGGGCTAGGGTCTTGTTTGGGAAGGAAACGAAACATAGGAAAAGATAAAACAGTTCTGATTGGTCTACAGATCCATAAAGGAGTCCGGGAGGAGTTCCTTTGAGGGTAAACTTCTACTAATCCAAGCCTTAAGAGCTTCTTTCGGTATAAGGTGTACAATACTCGAATGTTTACCTCAAAGTCTAAGAAAATCATTCTATAGTTACGTTAGGATCTTAACGTTAATCTCAATATGTTAGGGGTAGATACATGGATGGGGAATACGAGTGGGTACCCGTATATCAATGTACATGTGGGGAATCTAAGACCAACAAAGGACTCGCCATCGGTTAGGCTTGGTAGGGATCGGTGGGTGGATGGACGGTGGGGTGTTGGGGTACTGGGGATCAACATTAAACTAAACAAATGAAAACATCTCGGGGTTGCGGCGGTACTCACTAAACCAGATCTAAACAACGATTGCAACTTGGATTGGATGATTTGAATACCGAAAACGTGGGGAGTACAGAAATCAGGGGAGATTACACTGGGGGTAACGAGTGGTGGTGACCTGTGCTTAGAGGCGCACAGTGCCCGGAGTAACTAAAAAACGAGTACAAATTACAATTAAGATCGTTCATGGAGTGGCTCGATATCGATGGATGTCGGATGCTTTAGAGAAGCGCCAGCGGGGGGCGGTTTTAGTATCTAGATCTAGGGCGTGCGTCTTTGGGGGTTAGTCGGTTAGAATAGAACTCGAACTCGGCAAAGTGAAAGTCTTAGAGGGCTAGGGTTAGTGGGCGGTGGGTTCGAAAGGGTTGTTGGAACCTCTGGGAAGTAGTTCAGAGTCGCTCAGAGAGTTGTACTTGTAGAGATCGTCGGTGATGGTCGTTCGGTGGGTGCATATTCCATTTGAATTTCGATTTGTCTTTTGATTTGTACTGTTGATGGTTGCAATAGTGTTGGTTGGTCTTGGTAATTGTTTCTGTATTTTATAGCATTGTTGTAAAGGGACCGGGTATGTCACGTGCTGTGAAGGCTGTAAAGTGTCACGGCACAAAAGAATCAAAATAAACAAAAAGAGTTGAGGATTCAGTAAGTAGTCTTCGATGTATGATGTACTAAATGCTATATGCTATATGCTATATGCTATATACTTGATACGAGTATGTACAAAAGCTCTGTAGATATATGCCATGATCTGGGGGGGCGGTGGGGGATCTATTTACGGGTTTCTATTCAGAGAGATCTCCAAGTGTTGGCCTTACGATAACGGGTACTTATTACGTAACGAAATGATAAGGGGAAAACAGTATAAACGGAAATTTACCTTGGTCCCAATCGAACTCTCTATCCCAATCTCTTTCTCGCTCTCTCTCCCACTCGCGCGCCCGCTCCCGCTCCCACTCCAAGTCCCTCTCCCTGTCCTTCGAGCTGCGATCCCGGTTGAACTCCCTGTCCCAGTAGTCGCGGTCCCGCTCCCTTTCCCGCTCCCGATCGCGTTCCCTCTCCCTGCTGTCGCGCTCCCGACTGCCCTCGCGCTCCCCGCTCGACAGGCCCCCCATGCGGGGGTCCTGCTCGTCGACGAACTCCTCGCCGTCTACTGCTCAGCCGCGTGGCGAGTAGAGAGGGAGAGCCAGAACGAGAATCGATTGGTTATCGGTACAGTCATGGGAATTTGAATTTGAGAAAGACAAATTTTAGAATTGTATTTGTATAATTGTGTGGAGTATGTTGAAAAGCAAATGAAAACGGTTGTATTACTGCTGATCTGAATCGGCTATATATATACGTATATCGGTATATACATATATATACAATACATATATGTAGATGTGTGTGCAATGGTACCGATCTTCGAACGGTTTTCCGGGCCGGTGGGTGTGGTTGGGGTGAGAGACAATGTGTGATTCTTGGATTCTGATTTTCTTCTCATTTTTCGTTTAAAATTTTCACAGCTTTCACAGGCTTGGGGTGGCAGGGGGGGTTGGGGGAGGCACGCGTATGAGTATGGCAATGCGACCGTAGAATGAGCCCGAGCTCTGGGCCGGCTGTGGCTTTACCTGGCGGTGTCGGTCCGAGGCGTGCCGCATCCGCCAAGGGGGAGGCCTCCTGCGGCAGGGGTCTGGCTATCGGCGGCACTGCACGAATATCGGGATGTGTGGCCTTCCAGTAGGTCTGCAGGGGATCGAAAATCGATTAGTTATCGATGGATCGATAGGTATCCAACGGGTAAATACCTCCAAGTACTCGGCTATGTGCTCGCAGGCATCTTCCAGCTGGTTCTCGTCTAGAATCACATCGAACATTTCCGGTGGACATTGGGATAGCTTCTCGGCGGCAACCATTTGAACGGAGAGGTTTTTCGCCTGCGATTTGCCGCGTGATTTGATCAAACGCTGTAAAACCTATCGAAGAAAAAGGGATATCGATTAGGCTTAAACGAATACTGGCTATGGGAAACCTTACTCACCTTACTACTACTAATCTTTAAGTACACTACTGTTGGCGCTAATGAAGTTTTTGCTAATTGTGACGGATGATTGATTGTATCACAATCGAGTACGACTAACTGGAGCGAGCGGGCCAGCTCGAAGATGCGCTCGATCTCCTCCTGCACCTTGCCGAGATTGTCGGACCGACTGCTCGACCGCTCCATGATGGCCCGCTTCGATGGATTGTTCAGGATGGAGCGCTTCGCCAGGGAAATGTCGGCCATCACGCGCGTGATGATGATGCGGCCCTCGAAGCGGTGCTTGAGGAAGTCGAAGAGCGCCTTCTGCATCATGTCGGTCACCTCGTAGCCCTTAAGGCTCGGACCCACCAGGACGACGGGTCGCATCGATGGCACCACATCGTACGGGCTGGCCGTCTCCTGCTTCTTGAAGAACGGCTTGCGCTTCTCCTTGTTCGGTGCCGTGGCCAGCGGTGTCTTCCCGTGACGTCCCGGTCCCATGGAATCTGATTCGTCACCTGATCGTTAGTATCATGATCATGGCAAACAGGGCGGACGAGAAGAGATAATGGCAACGAATGAGCGAGCTTGTGATTGTCTATGAGAGCCAGTACGATCGATCAGTACGAATTGCTAGGCCAATTAACATCTCCATCATCATCATCAATAAATACAAGTACTTTTTGCTGTGTGTTTAGTATATACAATTTTTCGGCTTGTTATCAGAGCAATTTCCTCTGGTGTCGAGTGAGTGTCTGTGGCTGTGTCGGTGGGTGGATCTTTGTGCCAGGGCTTTGTGTCTGATTTGATTGGGGTTTTGGAATTTGAATTTGAATTTGAATTGTCTGGGAACCGTTCTACGCACCGTTCAATGCTGTGGTAATGTCAACTCGAGGGTGAGGTTTCATCCTAAAATATATGGCATGTATATCTTAAGGCTACACGGTTATGAAGTGCTCTATCTTTTCTCTAAGTCTATCTATAGTTTGGCAACGTTTCTAGAGTTACAGGTTCTATTCGTTACATTTTTGTTTCGGTTGATGTTCGATCTGGGGTTTACATAAAGCGCGGGACTGATACAAGAAGGTCTACAGTGGGTTTCAAGGATATATGACACTTGATTCCAAGACAAACATTTAAAACGATTTGGTTAAACTTTGTATAAAATGGTGGATGGTGTAGGGTTTAACGAGTCGACTCAATGGGTGACTTAATCAAGTCGACAATTTGTAGTTTTTTAGAGGTTTTATTAAAGGGAGGGTAACGATTATAAGATGCTGGCTAGAGGGCTCCTGATGGGCTGCCTATGATCAGCTGTTTCAGCTGCCAGTCACGTGTAAACGTGGAATGACTCAACTCCTTCGGGGTTCATACAAGAAAGAAGAAGACTGGCAGGCTAATTAGAGACTGTTTGATCCATTAGATTGGCAATTGAAGGCAGGTATTGGCGAGGTAGTACCTATGGAATTAGTAGGGAAAATAATCCTCAGATTTCTGCTATCAAATATACGAGTAGCAAAGCCATTAGGTACATTTTCCCCTTGTAGATTTGTCTACATTCGAGTCGAATCATTGGGGGTCTTCAAGTCGACAAGTTGTACTCTTTTAGAGGGTTTATTTAAGGTGTGATATCGGCTATAAGATGCTGGTTAGAGTGCTCCTGATTGGCTACAGTTAGCCCAGGCTATGATCAGCTGTTTCAGTTGCCAGTCACGTGTAAACGTTGAATGATGCAACTGCTTCGAGCTTCATTTAAGAAAGGAAGAGAATGGCAAGCTAGTTTTGCATTTATCGCAGTCTATGATCAGCTGTTTTCTATCAACTGAAAGCTCAATTTCCAGTCACGTGTAAAAGTGCTTCATTCATTCAGGAAAGAGTATGGCAAGCTAGTTATAGGCGAGGTAGTACCTATGGATCTATGGGAAACTAATCTACAGATATAGCAAAGTCTACATTCCCTTTCTCCGTATTTTTGTTGGTTCCTGCCCCTGTTTTATAGTCCTGAAACTCACTGTACCTAGCGTGGCGGGGTGTCTAGCAAGAGTTTCTGCGTTTGAGATGATTTGCTGAATATCTGATGAGAGACAAAGACAAACCTGTTTTTTTCTTGCGTGGTGTTGTACTGTAGGGATCTTTGGTCGCGTTGTAGTTGGTGTTTTAATAATCGTGGTTAGTTGGTTGTTTCAGTGTTGGACAAGAGAGAGTTAAGTGCATTTAATAGTGTTCTGTTTGGCTATGGCTAATGCTAGAGAAAAACCACAAGCAGTCCATGAAACAAGGAGCATTTACAAAAAGGGGTGGAGGGGTGGAGGGGGGGCAACAAACGGGGGGTAACGTGTTTCGGGTGTGGCCGCTACGGATTGAAAGCTGACTTGGGAGTGTGTGTGTGTGGGGAGAAGACTCCTTCGGTTGGTGGCATGCGGGTTCTAGGACACACCATTGGGGGGTTGGGGCGGGGGGTAGTGGGGGTCGATTTAGAAGCGGATTATGCCGGTGAACTCAATAAGCATACAAATTGCAATTGCTTTTTATGAATGTCGCATGATATAACGGATGAAACGCAAAAATTACGAAATTACGGGAATTTAGCATGGAGCATTTTTTTTGGTTTCGGATTCGTTTCGCTTCAAAATGAAAATCATAAACAGTTTTCCCAATCACAATGGACATTGGATCATCGTTAGATAGTTGGTCGGTCTCTGCATCCCTCAGCTGGACCTATTCAGATGCAGTACTATAAAGTACAGATAGATACAAGATAGATAGATAGATAGATGGAGAGAGAGAGAGAGGGAGAGAGAGCTAGGGGAAGAAGTTCGGCAGAGAGAACTTTTCTAGACGGAAATATCGTTTTAAGGGGGAAGAAGAAGAAGAAGAAGACGACGACGACGATGACGACGACGTAGTAGACGACGACGACGAGATACAAAAGATAAAAATTACATAGAAGACGAAGGCGGAAATAAATAAGATTTAGATTTAGATTTAGATTGAAATTGAAATTAATTCGATTCACAAATAGATACGAAATTAAACCTCGCCCAAAAAGAAATCAGGAGAATGAAATGTGTGTCATACCAGGTGTGGGGGGTGTGCTACCTCGTGATGGCTCCGCACCTGCTTGGCCTCCACCGGCGCCCAGATTGCCGCTCGACGAGCCCTTTGTGCCATACAGTCTTGAGGGTCTGGTTTGGTTCTGCGAAAGGAATCGATTTAATGATCAGTGATTGGTGATCAGTGATCAGTGATCAATGATTTGGGGACCCACCTGCATACGAATGTTGTCTAGCTTAGCGGGGCTGGGTATGAAGCCCACATCACTGCCTTCTCGGACCAGCCGGCCGATCCACCAGTTATTGTCATACTTCTCTTTGATGTGCAGGAACTCCCTGATCTCGAATGAAACGGCGCCACCCTGCACGGGCGAATCGTCGTCGATAGCGCCATCGTATGCTACGTTGGTTCGCACAGCGAACGCCACTGGTTTGCTCTGTTTTTCAAGAAGATAGAGGATCATAAGATGGTTTCCTTTGCAGGATCCACTGGAGAGTACTCACCCTCGCTTTATCCAACTGGCTTAAGGCCTGACGTTCCTTTTCTCGCCGAAGCGATTCCTTTTCCTCGTCTAGCGACAGATCGGATGACGGTTGTGAGTAGTTCGAGTCGGCAGAACCCTGCAAAGATCAAAAGCAATCCGGTTGAGAACTGTTGGAAAATTCATACGAACAGCCATCTGGAAACCCAAACAAATTCCATTGGCTCTATGCCAGCAAAGAGGGGGCCAAGGAATGCATTTTTATGCTTTTTTTTGAGTGGGAGAAAAGCAACAGTTTGTATTTAGATACAGCCGGGAATGCCTTTATTGAATGGTATAAATAATTGAATTTAAGAGACAAATTTAGGTTGAATGAATTGAGTACCATAATTATAATTGATTGGGTCATATTAATTTTTAATGAATATTTGTGGGGTATTTGTCATAGGTAATGGCTTGAATGGAGGAGCATATTTGTAGGGCACACAAAGAGTGGAGAAGAGTATTTTTAGGAAGTCTAAAATAAGTTTTAAAACAAAAAACTTCTGTCATAAATTTTCGATAACTTTCGGGAACTTTTAGAGAGACTTCCCTTGGATTATCGTGCAGTACTCGGACCCCTGACAGGCTCAATATCAGTTACTTACAAAATATGTAATTTCATTATACGAAAGGGAACACACGAGTATAGTATATATGTACATAGGTACTACCTATTAAGTATGCACTATTTATACAAAATTGACCTAAACATGTATGCCGATATGGAGGAATTTATGGAGGAACTTTCTCCACCTGGCTCTACTAGTCTTATGGACTGTTCGTTACCTTCTTACATACTATCGTAAAGCTGTAAACATATGTACACACGTTCTTCCCCAGTTCATGACTCCACATCCGTTAGTTGTTGACTTTTTACAATTTATTGCCCCATTCTACTAGAAAACTCTCCGACCACTCAGTATTCAGACAGACTTAGGTCTTCACTTTCGCAAACAAATTTCCGACTTACTTTGAAAACAGAAGAATTAGTGCTTCCGTTTTACGCAAAACGGAAAATTTTTCCATATGCAAAAACCCAAAATAAAAATTACACGACTTTTTATGCACCAGAACGAATTTTAGTTGCAAAAAGGATAAAAATAGATGACGTATTGATGAATTAACGTCCAATTTGGAATAATTAACAGAGGAACTTAGCTTGTGCCTCATTTATTAAAATTTTTTTAAGCCAATTGAGCTTGTGCCTTCTTTATAAATATAGTTTTCTCAAACCAACCTCAAATTTTGCTTTGAAATAAATGGTCAGGGCAACAACACTTTGCGTTTTCGAGCAAACAGCTGACGCAGTACCAGCCGGTTATCGATACATCGGGTGTTACGCATAATAAAGGATGAGTTGGGCGCTTAACAGCACTAAATTGAGCGTTTAACAGGGAATGTGATAAGGAAATATATCGATGAGGGAAAGCTGCGAAAGCGAGAGAACCTAAAAACGCAAAACGGAACGATTTGGCTGTGAAAACCGAAGCAGTACTCAAATATTTCGTATAGGAAGCAGAGATGGATGTTAAATGCTTAACTTTAGAGAGAAAAGTCCCTGATTTTGGAATCGCTTGCTCTTAGAAATCACGAAAGAACTTTGATTGGCTTTACTGTGACGATTTCTACCCAGTAAAAGTTATTCAAAAGTTGTGTTTTTGCACCTGTGTGAAGAGCTTGTTGTATCCACTCTGGTAAGACGTGTATCCAAGGCCAAATCGAGACTCTCGATGTTGGCCACCCTGAACGGAGGGAGCATCCGAGGATGATGCGCGCTGCACCATGGGCCTGTCAGCCCTGTAGTCTTCTTCGAATGAAGATATCTTGATGATATTGTCGGCGACAGGGTGCGTAAGCGACAGCGTTCCCTCTCACTCTCCCGGTCCCCAGCGAATGCCACAGCTGGCAAATGGCCGCAGATGTTCCGATGATAATGATGATTCCGATTCCGATTCCAATTCCGATTGCAATGTTGATGGATGGCAGACACTGGCGGCGGCAATGATTAGGTAGGTATTCCAAGGCGACTCCCGTATCGAGCTCCGACTGGCAAAATGTCAGAGCCTCGACTTCGAGTTGTAAATATATATGTGTGTATATTCTAGCAAAAGGTATAATTCCACTTATTGTTTCACAGTTTCGTTTGGCAATGATGGATTGATTAACTAACAGATCAGATCGGATCCGATCCGGACAACGACACTTGTACAAAAACACCGACAACGTCACCGACACAGACAGAGAGAGAGAGGAAGAGAGAGGGAGAGTGGGAGGCGAGTGGGAGATGCCTGAATCTTTTGGTGGAAAGGAATTCCTTTTTGGGCTGCTGCTGTTTTCCCCTTTGTTTTGGAGCGTCTGGCAGGCAAATTGATTCCGTATCGATGCTTTTCGCTTTTCCCTTTTTCGCTTTTCGCCTTTCTCTGCCCGTTTAAAAATAGGAATTTATGTCAGTCGAATCGCGGCTCTCTGCTCTGCTCTGCTTTGCTCTGCTCTGCTCACATCACATCACTTTTTCTAGTATATGCACAAAACGGACTGGAAAACGCGGGCGGGCGGGAGCGGGCGGAAGCGGGCGGGTGGTGCCAGGGGTTACTTGCTGGAGAGGTCGCGAAAAATGCTTTTGGTTAAACGCGTGGCCGTGTGTTTTCCGATTCCCTGCGATTCCCCGGATCTTTATCACTTGGTTCCCTTTTGTCCGTTTTTTTTTTGGCCAATTCCAATTCCAAGTCCCAACAGTCCAACATTCACATCCGTTTATCTTGATTCGTTATTCGATTCGCCCTCGACATTCACTCGATACTACTCCGCACGCAAACTGAATCGTTTCTGTATGTGGAAAACGGTTTTTCCGCCACGGGAATTGCCTTTCGTGTAGAGTTTTCTCTCTTTCGCTCTCTTCCAGTGCGTAAATGTGCCTCTTCCACGCCATGTAAACAAAATGCTTTTCAAGAGCACCCGCCGCCGCCGTTTGGTGCCACTGTGCGCTGGGAGTTGGGTTATTTCCAGCAACAAAATCGTGGCCTGTCTGTCATCGCTGGTCATCGTTTGGCCTGTCGCCGTGTCAGGTCGGGAAAATCAATAGCACCCGCATTTCGGGCGGCACATCCGACCACGGGGGAGTGGAGTCCACCTGTTGGCAGCCCCCATTCGGGCCGCGGGCATCGAACCACCAAAAGGGTTACAGCTGTTGGACACAGTTATATCCGTATGTAGGTACAGTTGTACGGGTATGTATGTAGAACATCCTCTAAAAGCGATAAGTGGCACGCAGGCACGGGATTTTAATGAATGTGGAACTGGCAGGAGAGCCATGGATATTAAGGCAAAAAAAGGTTTGGAACAGACTTTGAAAATAATGATACAAATCGGAGACATGAATAATCCTGTTCTGATACTTTTCGTTTAAGAAATTGTCCAAAATATTTCTGGACATGGATATGCTATGACTGCGCCATCAAGTGGCCCGATTGATACCAAGCCGAGGCCTGTTAGGCGCGGATCTCAGGCAATAGGACAGCCAACCGACCGAGGGGTGCTGCTGCATGGCGCGATTAGCCGAAATAGTGCAAGAAATTGATGAAAATTAGCAAATTTTAAAGAAAATATATTCTTTTATTGGATACAATTTTTTAACGTTTGAGATTCGCGTTGGACAATCTCTTTAAACATCAGTAAACTCAAAAATTACTGCTTTACCAGCACTTAAGTCCGGCACTGTACGTGTTTTGGTTTTTGACTTGAAAATATGAATAATAAATATTGAAAATTAAACTAAATACACATACAACAAATTCCTTCTTTGCCATAATAATATATTGAATATTATAGAACTATTCCACCTATCAAGAGCGAATTTTACATAGCTCAAGAATGTTAATGTTTTCTAGTATTTTAAGTTAATTTATGTACTTTAAAAGTTACGATTTTTTGTGTGTATCTATATATCTATCAATCTCCATATCTATATCCATCTATATCTGCTTCAGTTTAAACAGAGAACCCAGACAATGCTTAAACAGACTTAATTTACTCCAATTCAAATTTCTCTTTCAGCTCAATTCCTTCCATTCCGCGCACCACTGTGCCCGTGTAACGTAAACATTCCGCTTTCCATTTCCACACGCCAAATGACAGGAAGAGAGAGAGGGAGAGCGCAAACGATTACTTCCAGACGAGCGGAGAGCGAGAGAGCGAGTTTGACAGGCGAGAGGAGCGGGAGAGAGGACGCCTGCGCAGTGGCAATTCTCCACAGAGGCACTGGACATGCGCGGACTTTTGCTGTTGGCGGAGCACTCTTTCGCTGATTCTCTACCTTTTCGGCGGGGCATCAGGCCTGCAGAGAAGGTCGGGGGTCGTGTGTGAACGCCCCCCACCCCACTCGCGGTTCCCCATGGAATTTTTTTTTGGGCGATGCGTGTGCTCGGGTCGATTCTTTGTTTACCTTTTACTGATTGCCCAAAAGAGCTCCAGCGAACGAGTGCCCAAAACTACTAATGAACTTTGGTTGCCATCGATACCCTACCCGCACCCCCACCCCACCTCCCCTTTGGCATTCCTTGCGGGTGGGGGTCAACGTTCCGCGCTGCGCTTCCAGTGCAATTATATTATCGCTCGGCCCCAGCAAATATATTCATGGTCAGCAAATTTACTTCCCCGTGACTGTCGTTGACCGCGGCACCTGACCGCCCCCTCCCCCCATTGTGACCCCCCCTTGACGACAGCTTTTCAAGGTGGGTCAGGGCTTTGGATTTGCAATTTATATAGTGAGGGCTTGGAGCATGGATTCCCTACAATACCAGTGGAGTAGAGTCTTTGGAGCACCATTTATCGCATTTACCAGCATCATAGATTCATTGATCTTTTTTATAGATTTTTTTAGAATTTTCTTCGAGCCAGGAATGACTAAAACATCTCTTAGAACGTAGAAGAAGCCTCAGTGGAGAACCCAGAAGGGGCTTAGGAAGGAGGTACCATAGATCCTACGTAGAACAATTTGAAATAATAATTTTAACAGCTTTGAGCAGCGCAGTATTTACAGAGCCATAATTTTCCCAAGACAATTAATCATCGCTTAATCTCCCAGAAATTAAATAGTTCTGATTATAATCCATTTACCATTGATTTATGATCGTAATCCTAATCCTCCCCTTAAATAAAATCGAGGGAAAACCCAGAGATCCGAAGAATTGTTTACAAGTGCCAGAAAAGTATCAACATTACGGATAAACGCGACCCGTGCCGGGGCAGGAGTATTCCGGCGATGAGTAAGAGGGTGCGATGAGATCTACATATCTATAACTACACATATATACAGTGCGAGACAAAAATTTAAGACAGTAATAATAATAAATTCGAAGAATTAAAGGATTTATGGGCGTTTTTAGAGCACTGAGGGGCTATATATTTAATAAACTATTTTGATTTATACCAAAAGCAGCCCCAACCAAATATTAGCCAGAAAAAGCCCCAAAAAGTTCGAAAAACAATCCAAAGAATTTCTAGAAAATATATTAATCCTTAATCCCCACTTGGCCTTGCCCTTAAATACCTGCGATTTAAAGCTAAATATAAGAATATTTCCCTAAATTTGTACACCTTCTTACCAGTGGTGAAACGCACTGTATGCACTGTCTCCTCTGTTGGCCCGTATTTATACACATGTCTGAATAAATCGCCGTGAACAGCGAAAAGCTGGGCGAGCGGTGAGCGAGCGATCGAGTGGATAAAAATATACAAAATTCCGCCCGGGCCCGGGGGCAGGGCCGAGCCATAGACAAAGACAGGGACAGCGATAGAGGGGGGGTGTTAATAGGTTTTTCGCCCATCAACAACCTGATCTTCAATTCATTAGCTTACCCGACGGTTTTTGTTGTTCCGAAAGGGCTTGTAGGACTTGGCCTTGCTTTTGGCCCCCAGATGAAGTTTCTTCATGGCTAAGAAAACACAATCACTAGCGGTTAATAATCAGAAACGGGACGCCGAGTGGGTCACTTTGTCCGCGAAATAAATTATGCAATCATTTTTGGAAACGCTCGCAATATAAACAAACACTCAGGCGTTATGGCCAAGTGCCTTAATGGCAATCGTTAAATGCCCAAGAGACACACACACACACACAGGCACATGTGGCAAGAATTGGGTCATGCTGTGGCCCGAGCCAGAGCCGGACACATGACAGCGATTGAGGAGCACTTGCCACACCATCCACACCGCCCGAGTAATGGCCACAAATGCTGGAAATGTGCACAGAATATCGTAATCAATGGCTGTGGGTTTATAGAAGATATATATATATATATATAGGACCCACTGCTCGATATATAGACCAGTTCAGAGCGGACCGAACCGAACGAGACCGAGACCGACCACAGAGAAGACAACAATTTCGACTGACAATATTTTTTTGGCACCCGCACCACCGCATCCATTGACAAAACCCCAGCGAGAGGCAGAGAGCGGAGAGCCCAGCAATTGAGAAAATTTCACAATAAACAGTTTCATTATCGATGCAGGGGATATTTATGTATATATTTGTATGCAGATCTAAGCTAAGCTAAGCTACTCCTCCGAAGAGCTGAAGAGTGGTGTGGTCCCCCCCTCAGTACTGCTGCCCCTGGATGCCCTGGCCCAGGCTGCGCAGCTCGTCGATCAGGGCTGCGTTGCCGATCCGCTGGTGGTACTGCTGCAGCTGCTGGTAGGGCGCGAATCCGATGTAGGAGGGCACCTGCTCCGTGTAGGCCCCCGCCGAGCCGTAGGCGGCCGGCGCCGCCTGCTGGGCGCAGGGGGCGGGCACCAGGTTGGGCTGGCAGCTGAACAGGTAGTTCTTGGGGCACGGCGGCGCCGGCACCGAGGAGTAGCTGGAGGCCGGGGCAGCGGCCGGGGCCGGAGCCGCATAGGAGCTCGAGCAGGAGGCGCAGGCGAAGGCCGCGAACAGGACAACGACAGCGAGGAAGGCAACGGTCTTCATGGTTTCGAGTGGATCTTTCAACTTATAATTGTCTCTCCCAAAGGTCTACTCTTTATAGGGTTTCCAAACTGAAAGTCTGCAGTTTCTGACTTTAGCAGTTGGCAATTTTGATCGAAGAAAACTGCAAACCAAAGTCCGATCGTGGGTGTTCAAGAGGGCAGGAATTCGCTGCGGGGTGGGGTACCGGGCGAAGGGTGACTTCAATTCTAGACAGTTGCCAGCCAATCTTTATATTTAATTGCTGTGCACAGGTGATTGGAAAAGTGTTAATTGGTCATTTAATGCATGGTTTTTCGACGCTCTTTAAGGGCTTTGTGACCTCAAAATGGGCGACATTTTTATGCAATAGCGAGTTCTGGAAAATTACAAGTACATATCATCATGTTATTGCACATAGTAGATTTAATCCATTTATATACATAGCTCCTTGGATAATGATTTGGAATCTACAATCTGAATGTCGTGAAACTCTCGGAGGACCACTATTTATATTTTTATTTGATACAGTAATCGATCTAGCTCAATATTTTTACTGAGGACACTATAAAGACAGCGTATTGAATATTTGACTAACTATTTACATAAAATTAAATAGTATTTTCCATTAAAAAATACGAATTAAAGAGTTTTTTATCCCTAAGACCCACTTTTAAATTCAAAATTCGATAATTCAGTTTGGTCGATTACATTTATTAGCAATCGATCCAGCCAAAGCGCCACCTAGTGCGCAGCATCTTCAAACTAAACGAATGTGTTGCGGAACATCTTCTGTCTTTGCAACATAGCTACATTTACAAAATTCGCAACATATACCTTAATAAATGTTACCGTAGTTTTCAAAAATACTATAATTTCAATGGCGCCAAAATATTTTGATTCAAACTAAAAAAGATCAACAAGAAACATAAACAAGATACATATTCCGTATTATAAAATATATGAAACAAAACACAAAAGCCTTATTTAGGCAGGTTAGCGTCAACTGCTAGTCTTAGTCGCCAAAATATGTAAATATTTCGTGAATTTATTTGGAGGATATGTCATAACTTTGACCGTTTGACCTGCTGCCGGCAGTAGCTATGGAAATTCTAATTGACTTTCAAAAAGCAATCATAAATTGTGTTGTGGAGTGCATAAATTGAAACTCCGCTCGAAACCCAATCAAATGGCATCGGATCCTATGCAAATAAAACAATTACAGTTTTCTGGGAACAAGCTGAAAATATGAAATCGTCTAAAGGAACTAAAGACAGTGGACTTTCATTTGGCATAAGCACAGCCCCACATTTCTGAGAATCGCAAACAAGTCCCAGATACTATGCTTCCCAAGGCCAGAATTGTCCCAACTTATTCGATTGTTTCCAAACTTATTTGTAAGTTTTTTTTAAAGAATTAATTGTAGCATGAATATCTCTCTAAATTGCAGATGTTAGCTCTCGTTTTCCTGCATTTGTGGTACCAATAATGATTCAAAGATACATTTCCCTGGCTACTTTTAAAGATCTACCAATCATTAGCATCGAATCGAACTGTACAAAAATCCCCGTAATTGAAGCATTCAGATACAAGATACAATTTGTTGATCAAAACAAACCGTTCCCCCATGCAAGGCCCCCATCAAACGTGCTATTGTTTTGGATCTAAGTTTGTGTCAGCCTCGCAGGTATTTTGTGTTTTATTTTATTTTATTTTTAGCCCTGGGCTCCGTCGAGAGTAAACTTTAATTTGAGAAGGATCGCTGGTTCGGTGGATCGCTGGATCTCTGGATTGGGATGGGCAATTACGCGCATGCACATGATGATCCGCCTGCCCCTGTTTCGGGCCAGACCTAAATTTTAATCATAGGGTTCGTGCCGCTGGCCTTCAAAGTGGGGCACACAGCGCGAGAGGCCGTTTTGATTGCTGCCCCCCCTCACAAGCTCTAACGGTAAACAAATACTTGGCCTTTGTGCGCCAGACATGGCCCCAAGATATACATCTTAACTGGAACTCCAATTGAAGAAGCACTCGCCGGGGAGACAGATCAATGAATCAATCGCAGGAGCAGGGATTCAAAGAAGTATCTGCCCAGAGTATCTTCCCAGAGGTTAGATTTCAATGTTTCCTGTGGCTCCTCCTTCGGCATATCTTCCTCAATGTTTGCTTTGCCTTTGTTTTTTGCAGATCGCAGCCTTTAAACGGAATTGGCTCGAGCCTGCACCTGCCTGGGCTTAGAGGCTGCCCGACGACTCCAGCACAGCTGCTCTTGGGTCCTGGCCGCGAAGGAGGATCCCCGAACATCACCAAAGGCAAAAACATGTCTCGGTACTTAGCGGCTCGGGACGGGCACCGGCCACATCCTTACCGCTCGCCAAGCGATCCTTGCCACCGATCCCCTGCCCTTCGATCCTTGCCACCGATCGCCTCCCCTTCGATCCGCTCTAACATTTTTTATTGCATCTAATTTGCAGTCCCTGTCCATGTCCAGGCCGCCGTCTCTCTGGTAATTTAAGACATTGTTCCCTTGCCACCGGGAGTCGAGTCGTCAATTATGAGTTAGGGTTCCCCTCCCCCCTCCCCGCTCCCCTTCCCCCCTTGGCAGCGTTGACGAAATGCCGAGCTTTGTTTTAAATTAAATTTAATTAGCCGTCGAGCCTTAATTCAGGCCCTTGGGAGGCCTCTGGCACGTGTCGTTGTCGGCAGCTGCTCGAAGGAGGTTCCTACTACAGAGGGGAGAGGGGGAGGGGAAAGGGGGGACACCCATATGCAACCAGCGCTAACAATGCCGTTATAAGTGGCCCATTAACACGGTGTCAACCGCCATGCAACGGCAATTTCCGTCGCTATTGCCATTTATCGATTTTCAAATTCCATTCAACTGGCGACTGGCAGTGGGGGAGGGTGGGGAAAGGGTGCCCCAATGGGTGCATGAGTCGGCGGATGCTCTTTCAACGGAAGCAAAGCTCTTCGGGCTACAACGATGCTTGTGGGTCATTGCTGGAACAGGAGAGGGGAGTGGAGGGGCGGGGAGTCCTTAAAGAATGGCCTGTTCATGACCACTAATCTCGCGTTTGCCAACTCCAAAGTGGAACGAGTGACATGCATTTATTGCAACCTTTCAGGAAATTGGAACCGAGAGAAAAAACCCATTTATTAAGTCAATATGCGGGGTTTTAAATACAAAACACAATGAAATAGTAATCCACAATTCGTACTTCGGTTTGGGGATTCGACTTAAATAGGAAGACTTTATTTCCAAAAGGTTTTTCGTGTGTTCTGCCAAACAACTCCTGGGAAAGACAGACTATTTCTGATATAATCTGGCCTCTGGCAGCCTACTTAAGCTCTATTCGTTGCAATATATTATCATATATTACACTTTTACTGGGAAACTAGAGGGCTAGCAACAGCCCCCCGCAATACCAGTCTCCCTTGCTTAAGGCCCAAAAAGAATTTCCTCGATGGACCTTGATTTTTCAGGAATTAAAGTGTCGTCCTTTGGTATCTGTATCTGTATCCAAAACTATTTTATATAATTGGGAAATAAATTTCATATAAATATAAAAATATCCTGTTACGGCTTTTGTATAAAAACACCTCCTAAAAGGCTTCACCGATTTTTATGAAATTGTTTGTATGGCTGCACCCGCCAAAGATCGCTTCTATATATAGTACCAATGGTTACGCTTATATTTTCAATGAAAGACGCCCCTTATCCCCCGGTAACTAGATGATGACCTCTCACCCATCCAGCTATCCTTGCAGCAAACTTTACTCAGTAAACTCTGAAACCTACAACCAACCAACCTACAATCAAGGGATCATATTTGCAAAAAGTTGCTCCAGTAGACGCCCGTGCCATGTCTATCCAGAATCTACACACCCGTGACCCCTTTGCCGAGGCCGACGCGGCTGGCATTCAGGCCCGGCCCGTGCACATCCGACTGCAGCAGAGGAATGGCGGCAGGACCATCACCACGGTCCAGGGCCTGTCCTCGGGCTACGACCTCAAGAAGGTGGTCCGCTGCTGCAAGAAGGAGTTCGCCTGCAACGGCACTCTGCTCGAGTCTCCGGAGTACGGCCAAGTCATCCAGCTGCAGGGCGATCAGCGCTTGAAGATCCATCAATGGCTGACCAAGATGCAGTTGGCCAGCTCCGATCAGCTGAAGGTCTGCGGCTTGTGAGACGAGGCCTATGTTTTTATACTTTTACTTCCATTTCACTCTTGGGGTGGCATCGTATATATTTTAATCTATGCGGGGCTCAGGGATTGATTGAAAATAAGGAGTGTATTCCAAGACTTACATACGGAATAGTCTAAGGAGGACATTGAAGAGTCACATATCTAACACCAGAAGTCAGAAATCGTCTTAAAAGCCATCAAAGATATTCCAAAAATGTTACACAAAATATGGAAAAATAGTACTATTTTTCTGATGCCACAAATATGGAAATATTCCTAGAAATATGGTATGTATTACCTGTTGGTTCCGCAATTCTCACGGCGTACAAAAGTGCTGCAGCTGGCGGCTGGTGTGGGCCTGTGAGCTCTGCCCGCGAATCCGGTCCTGGCCCTGGGTGTCTTTTAGTGCCTCAAAGTGCCTGGTAGTGCCGCTCCTCGAAGTTCTGAGCAGCTCTCATCTGGAACGGCAGAGGATATCAAAAAGATAAGTAACCAAATTCCAAATTGCAGCTCCAACAGGAAATCGCAAAAATATAAAATACCCGAATTGTCGGGCGCGAAGTGGAAACGAGTATCCGCTAATACACACACATGTACATATACATATATATATATATGTATATGTGTGAGTGTGTACATTCTTGAGTTTTGCAATGAGAATTTCAAAGTCAAGGTTAAATGAAACATTTGCCTGTGTTTTCTCTCCCTCTCTTGTTTTGTCTCTGTTTTGGCTTTCGCTTCGTTCCCACTGTCCTGCCCGTGCAAGTGCTCTTCTGTGTGTGTGTGTGTGTGTGTGTATCTGTGTGGCTGTGTATCTAACAGCCACGCATGCGCGGTTCGCACTGCAGGAGCCGCAGTTGTCGCTGCGGTTGTGCTTCGTGTTCTTCAGGCGGCCTGCCAGACACCGACGACAACAACAACAACAACAAAGTCGTCGTCGTCGTAGCCTCGGAGTGTCTTCGCTGGCTGTTCACTTGATCAAACTCAAGTACAGCGAGGGGCGGAGGAGGGCCCTGGAGCCTTTTGAATACTCTTCCAAGGGGTAGCTGCTGTTTTGGGAGATTGCTAGGGGGCACAGCAGAAGTATCTTGGGATCAACAAGCCATGGAGATGGGTCTATGGGCGGGCAGCATTCAGGGGGAGATAGATCGGGGGAGAAGTCTTTGGAGAAAGAGACTTCCCTGGCAAATCCTGCGGCTTTCTAGAGACGCAGCCTTCTCCCAGAAAAAGGAAGACCTCTAGAAGGCTTCCAATTAAGACCCTGAAGAGCACAGAATCGGGTCCTACAGAGAACTACAGATTGGAGCTGGTTCTAGGAGTCACTTTTCCAGAATCGCTAAGACGAAGAGGGATTTTAAAAACTATATAAAAACCCTGGACTTTCTACGTCAATATTTTTGGTGATGAGTAGACCAGACGTAGGCTTAAAAGTAGGATTAAAGCTATATGGAATGTATGTACATATATCTAAGAGTATAGAGAGTATCTATGAAGGACAGATAGGAAGTTCCCTCGAAGATGGAGCTCTTTTCCTTCAAAAAGTTACTATCGAAAATAGATCTAAATTAGCTCAACATATTTTCCCATCTCTTGGTAGCCAAACAAGAAGATTTCTAGAGTTTTGAACCCAATTTGAATAGGGCTAGTCTCTAAAGGTCTCCCGCACCTCAAGAGCATCCAAGCTGCGTCTCATATTGATTCAGAAACTTGTCTTATAAGCACATTTTGTGCCGGGGCTGGCTGTTCTTGGGGCTGGCTACTGGTGCCGCCGAAATGGATGTCATGTGCAGACGAGGAATGCAATTTTTTGTTTTTGCCAAAATAAAAACCCAATAAAATAAAGTGAAAAGCAGAAGGCAACTCGTTTGCTGCTGCAGACAGGGCCCAGACATGGGCAGATGCCGCCCCATTGCCCTCAGGGTAGTCGCAATTGCCCAGGGTTGCCACCTGCAACCACTGGCTGTCCGAAAAGGCCGAGAAGTTCAATGCCCCACGCCCCACCCGCACAGCGACTAATACTTTCTCATTACGCCAAATTCCGTGTAAGAGGCCATGACTCGCCCGAAAACCTCAGAGCTTTGCCAACTGTCCGAATCGATCAGCATTGACGAGGGTCCAGTCCAAGTGCAGGTACAAAGAAATCATTACCTCTGCCTGTGCCAGGGCCCGTCCCTGTTCGTGGTCGAAATTGTGGGGAGAGCTGATGTGTAATGCAGCTCAGTCGCATGAAAGCATTGAGTACTTGGATTTGTGAAGATTTGACTGGGATATGCATAGTCGGTGGTGCAGAGGTAGAAGAAAGACCCTATTAGACCCAGTAGAACCAGTAGAGTAGAGAAACCCAATAGAGGAAAGCCCTACTATTGTTTGTTACTTGCACTCCCCACTGTACCGCACTGTGATCTATACACATTTATGAACATATACATATTCTCCCTCACGGCAGAAGCCAATCCGCGATCGCCCTCACGATCTGTCGCGAGATCACTAGCATTAGGGCACGGATTCCGCTTCGGCTTCGTCTTCGGGCCGCCTGCCCTTGAATTTAGTCTCTTCTATCGTCTTAGAATAGATCTTCAGTCCGACACAGGCTTGAAGGTAGCCCCCGCGTCTTGTATCGATCTTGAGGCGATCACTAATCATAACTCTATGGCTAAGCCATCCGCATTGTCAGATACACTGTAATTTATACCACAATAAACTTCTCAAATACCGAACCCAACAATCATCGAATTATCTTTAAATAGAACGCAATCAACGCTGCTGAAAACGTTTAGTAGCTCAACAAATACGAGTATTGATATCCTTTCTAATACAGAATTAACCAGAAAGAATCAGAAGCATTAGCCAATATCTGCTGCATCTAAAAGTTAAACGGAAATCCTCCTAGAATCCCAGATGTGACTGTTTTCCAGCACTGCAGACATGATGACTATGTATAAAGAAGTCCTCTCCCACAAAGCGCTCTCTTTTCGGAGGTCTTTGTACTGCTCTCTCTCACCAAACACGACGCCCTCAGTAGGGCTTACCATAAAATAAGACCCCAAAGAGAGGGAGTGGACCATCCAGTAATCGATATATCTGTAGCCTAGGGAGCTGCTTAATCTTTGCCCACAATAAAACTCCCTCTTCCATAAAGTAGGTCTTTAAGTCTTTAAGGTTTAGCCATAAGTCATTCAATGACAAACAGATTTACACACAAAACATATGCAGATGTCTGAGTGCTGCGCTGAGCTGTGGACTCATAAAAAGGTTTATTGAATAAAGTTGATTGTTCATCAAATACTTGCAGCTCTCCCGCATTGAATACAAACTACTGGCGCAGCCTTGAAGCGAACGCAGGACAGTGGAATGCAGTGGACCCTTGACTGACACTCCAGTCTCCACTGTACTCTCGGTTTGTACTCTTAATGCGTTCCCTGTAATTATATTTCGAGCCCGAAGAGCCATTTGCAGGGATTGAAAAGAATATTGGGTTTTTTGGGTCTGGGTCTGGGCCTGGAAATATTTCCGCTGTCCGTCGACATGTTCGTCCTGCATGTTAAGTGAGCTTTATATTAATTTTATAATTCATAATTGCATCCATGTTGCGCGAATTTCTGAGCCCAAACGCAATGGAATTTAATTAAGTTAACCCTGCAGGTGCCGATGGTCTTTCGTATGAAGTATATATTGGATGCCCTGCCCTCCAAGAGGGTATTCCGATTTGGCACAGCAGATCGGAGACATTTTCTTCGTACAGGTAGCAGGGGTGGATCCTCAAGGGTATCTCAGCCTTCGGTTTCCACCACTTCCTGGCCTCCACTCGATGGTGTTTTTTTCCTCTTTCGAATGCCTTTAGGAGGCACTCGTCGTGCATTCTGATTAGTCACAGGCTTCAAGAGTATTTCGGAGTACAAGTACGGAAACTTCCGTTGTGATTGCACTGGAATTCGATTAAAAGATCCCCTGCATTAAACCCCCAGCCTAGAACAAACAAATTGAATGTGTTATCGGGCAGAGCGAGTTTACTTTAACATCTTGACACCCCCAGATGCCGGTTGTGGCCTCCTTTCAGGCTCGTACCGAGACGAGAGTTTATGGCCAAAATGATGGCTGGCTGAGACGGATGCCTGAAAGGGGGGCTGGCCAGCAGAGTGCTGGATGGCCACAGGCATCGCATCGCATCGCATCGCATCGCATGCTGAGTCAGATGGGGTCCAAGTGCATGGAGGATCTGTGTGGATCTGTCGAGGATGGATGGACGTGGAAGCTTGCACTTATTAATGCTTAATAAATGGCATTTCATTTCTTATTATTCCCGGACTCGTGTTGGAGGATTTTATTGCACTGCCTCTGCCTCAGCCGCTGCCTCTGCCTCTGTTGTTGTCGTTGTTAATGCGAGTCGATATATTGGCCATGACTAAGGATGCAGATGCACGAAGAGCGAGAGTCGAGCGTCGAGAGCCAGACAGTCGGCCTGCCCAGTCCTCGTATGCTGTATGCTAAAGTAATTATTTCATTTGAGCCAACAATGAGGCTGCAACTCTGATGTGGTTATTGTGGCCGATGCTGATGCTTCTCTGGTTCTGGTTCTGTTTCTGGCTTCGCTTTGAGCGACTGGGATGGATGATTGACGAGTGGAAATTAAAGAAGCTGGCGGCTGGACAGTTCAGTTCAGTTCCACTCGCAATCGCTGCACTAAAACAGCTTTTTAGCGGCCACAGAGCTTGAGATGCGAGCGCGCGCATCTTTTAACGACTCGCGTTGTCTGTTCATTTTTTTTCTTAAAGTACTTGGAATGTAAATGAAGCGGGTGTCGCTGTCGGCCTGTTTCGAGGTCACGCCAGTGGTCATTGCACCCACGCACGGCGCACTTTTACGATTCCGAGATACAAATGTAGCATTTCCTTTTGGGCGTGCACTTTTTGAATTTCAAATTTCCCCTTGCGCGCCTAAGTATTTATCGGTCTATCGACATGCGCACGCCGCTGCTAGTATTTTTGGTATTTTCGGAAACGCGCTTTGGTGTTTTCACAAAACGCGCTAGGCCATTTGCAGTTTTTTCGGGCAAACATCGGACCTACGACGCGAAATTTTTGCAAACAATTAAATTTTAATCAATTAAATCGGAAGTACGCCATATTGCAAAGGTTGGTAATGGTTGAGACCTGCCGACAGCTGAGGGCTTATGGATTCCTTGTCTTTTCATAGATGCAGCAGCAGCCTGGAACCCCCGGCGCACCCAACAACAGTGCAGCCTCGACCACGACGTCTTCCGGCGGGGACTGGGCGTCGCGCGGATGCAATACACCTGGATGCACAGTGTCCACCGTTGTGGAGAAGACCAAGCGCAAGTGCTCGCAGTTCGTGTCGTCGCCGTACGTGATGCCCAAGCCGGTGCTCGTCAACGGCACCACATCGGTGTTCCAGGTGGGGGGGGAGATGGCCAAGATGGTCGATATTCCATCGATTTCCAATGCCAGTGGCGGCGATTGCGGCAAGCCCATCTATCGCATCAAGCCGGGCACCCATGCCCACGTGATAAACTTTGTGCTCATCGACGAGGGCTCCGATTCGCTGGAGAAGGCCATGTCGGGCGACCAGGAGGCCATGCGCATGGTGATAGACTCCCAGCGTGAGTCCGCCATCGGCAAGCTGAACAAAATGGTGGCCTGCCACCGAGGTGCGGCTGTGGCGGCCAAACCAACCAGCCAGCCTCCCCCTCAGCCAGCCACTTCGGCGGCCAGCCACGTGCACGTGACTACGCCACAGATTCATCCAGACTTTTCGATTGCCAGTGTCGAGGGTGCTGTGCCCTTTACCGGCGCTGCCAAAAAACCAGCCGCCGCACCAACAGTGGCCCCAGCCCGCGCCCCCGCCCCCACAGCAGTGGCCAGCCATCCAACGCCCAACTCAAGTCAGGGCCGCCTGCAGGCCGAAGGTCTACAGCTGCGTCGCACTGTCGCGCTTCTGGAGGAGGCCCCGCGCCGCTAAACCCTAGTCTAAACACTAAGCCTATTCCAAGATAAAGTCCAAAGAAGGCATAATTTTAAGATGTATCCCTGTCACTCTTCCTATCAAAATTCATTTATATTTTTTCGTATTAATCTTGTTACCCTGCGAATGCCTTTCGGCGCCTTTCAATTTGTTTCCCGGTCTGATGTGGGTCTTCTCCACATTCGCCATGGACTTAGGATGGTTGGGTTTAAATGCCCGCCATTATAGTTATAAGAACTCCCGAGAGATGTGTTTTCTGTTACATTGATCAACGAATATTTGCTATTTGTAATCGAATTTTTTTTTTTTTAATAAAGTTAACCATTGAGAAAAGATCAATCTTTCAAAGGCTTTGCCTATCTTTTAAAGTGCCTTTTGGGTATCGAATGAGATATTAATTTCTGGCAGGCAAACCACCAAAACTTCAAAGCAATGAGGTTCAGGACTGAAGCCGCAGCCGGCACAGGCGGTGTGCGGTCCCCCGATTCCTGGAAAGGTTTCACCAGTCTGGAGCTGGTAGAGGGCTGCGGGGGGAAGCGGTATTAAGCCAACTGGCCAACAACTGCTCCAGGGCCATTTCTGCAATGGCGTTGTCGGTGTTTGTCTTAGGGTTAGGCAAAAAGTACGCAAAAACCGGGCAGACGCCATTTTCTCCGATGTGAACGCGTGTGGGGGTGGGGGGCAAAGACAAGAGTCAAGGGGGGATCTCAAGGGGCCGTAAATGTGGCATTTTATGTGTCATCAACGACAGCGTCGGTGGCGGCGCTCGGACCGAGGCGAAAACTTTGCAATCGAACGTAAATTAATTTTTATTGCCGGCAAATGCTGCGTCTGCATCGCAGAGTCGCCACCAAAAGGAAGGTGAAACCCAAACCCAAGGTTTGTACATGGGGCATGTACTTGGGGGTATGCGATGGGGCCTGGAGTTGGCGAGTTTTTGGGTTAATAACTGATAGAAAAGAGCATCTTCTAAATATTCATTTATATCTTCTTCTAGGAGACGCGTTCAATGTGGGGATTATAATATCCCATAGTACCAGTACAGAGATCACATTTTCAAGGATCCTTTACTCCCATCTAAACTCCAATTGTGGCCTCTGAAACACCAGCCCGTTCTGGGGATTATCTCTCTTCTAGAAATCCTTGAAATATCCCGCCCATGCATTACCCCTACAGATATGATACCCGGCGATAAGTAAACATATAAATTTGTATATCCACAGCCTCCAAGAAGAGTGGCCAACAGGTAGAGGACGGTATAGATCTGGCCAGGACAGGACACAATTGTGGGGACACGGCGGCAGAATCAAATTCGTTGCGCGGTGCCACGAAGTGAACTGATCCTCGCCGGGCTGTATAAAAAGTAACGAATGTGCGCAATAATAAAAATCATTAAAATAAAAATGTTTATGAGAAGGCATAAACACGACTTTATGGAGGGAGCCACGCGGGCAGGGACGGGGTAGGGGTCGGCACTGGGACCGAGACCGATGTTGGGGCACTTGATGGCGATGGCCGCTGGACTGGGGACGGGGGACGGAGGACAGAGCCAGAGGCAGCAGCATAAAGAGGCCAGAGGAGCGCAGAGAGTGTCAATGGGCAAAAGTATCTGGGCATTTGTTTCGCTCAAAGGACAGACACGCACACAGAGAGATACAGATGCAAGAACTGTGATCTCTATGGATAATATACCGACCAGGGAATGCCCAGTGATCGGGTGGGTTTTCATAAAAGTGAGAATTGGAGAATTTCTGGAAAAGATAGAAATTAAGGAATATTCTTAAATTCATTTTAAGTGAAATATTTCTCCGATGGGTATGATTTTTCGGTGGATAGATACATAATCTCTACCTTAGGTTTGTACTTGGATAAGGGTATGGAAATCCAAAGAAAACCCCTATATAACGATTAAAATAGAGTATACTTTTATGGCAGACTTTTTAAAGACAATATTTAGACCTTTTATCGTTTAAAAAATTTTAATAAGGTTACGCTTATTAAAATAAATCTATCTGATAGAAAATTGAATATTTTATTGGTTAAAATTATTTTTCTTTTGAAAATTGCGATTGAAAAGATCTTAAAACAGCAGTAAACCGATAAGCTACTACTGTGCCAACACTTAAGTCCAGGACTGTACCTCCAAACGTCTTACTCCTTCTTTTAGCTATAAGATTCATCAGATCTTGATGATTATTCAAAGATCTATAAATTATAGCCGAAAAAATGACTCTACCAAAGACAAGCTTCACATCTTTAAAACCGTGAGTACCACAGCTTCTTCTCGATTCCCAAAATGATATCCCGAAACCTTGAATCAAGTCTTCGACGTGCTCTATCCCATCTTTGACACAATATACCCTTCCTCTGTACTACTAGGAGGTACCACTCCGAGGCAGACAGCGGAGCCAGTCGGGGATTGGGATGCTAACTCATTTTGGCGGCGGCTGCCGTGGCTGCGGCTTCGACTGCTTCTGCTTCTGCTTTTGCTGCTGCTGCGTCTCTCCTGCGCCGGGACAGTCATGTGATGAGCACTGGAGAGGCAGCATGGGAGACCAGACCAGGTTCTCTCGAGCTCCAGCTCCAGCTTCGGGCTGTGGCTGAGAAGCAGGCGCAGGCGCTCGGCTCAAAAATAATTTGCAATTTCTTGGAAATACTCACTTTTGTGCTGCCTGCGTTGACGTCGTCGTCGTCGACGTCGTCGCTGGCGCAGCTTCTCAAGAACCTTTAATGGAGCGGCAGAGGGGGGTGGAGGGGAAGGGGAAGCGAAGGTGGCCGTAATGAAAATTAAAATACGAAACACTCAGGCAAAGGTCGCGGGACAGGACTGGACTGGAGAGGAGCCAGGAGCCAATGAGCGGGTACAGCGGGTACCCCCTGCCCCCCCGCCCCCTTGTCTCTGTCAACAGTTGGGTCCACTCTTCGTCCCTCTCGCTGCGGCTTTCGGGTGAGTCCGCTTGGTCGGATTGCTTGTCGTTATCTTGTCATGTCAAAATGGTCTTACGAAAATGTATCTTTTGTATTCCAAGTGCAAATGAGCAGCACAGATACAAAACAACATACTCCAGCTATACCCCGCAACTCTTTGAAGATCCCCCCACCCCCCACTCCCCACTCCCCACCAAATCCGCATCAGCATTTTGTTTCGCGTCTCCTTTTGATACCTGGTTTTTCGAGTGTTCGAGAGGGTATGATGGGATGCACACTGGGCGGCTTTGATTGGTGAGGTTTTAGGTAGTATTAGTTAGTACTATTATAGGAACTATTATATGTAGTACTATTGGTACTCTGAAGAGCAGTTTTGTGGCCTTTCTTTTGAGGCCTGCTCGAATCAATTTGGTGCTCAATTTATAAACTCTAAAAAAATTAGAACTGTATTCACAATTTTGAAGATATTGAACACCAATAGATATTGTATCTTATCTACACAAATTCGTTTTGATTGGATAAACATTACGGAACGAATAAACAATAGTTTGTTCGAATAATATAAAAATATAGAAAAAATATATAGAAAAATATGGAAAAATTAAGAAAAATTTAGAAATATATAGAAAAAAATAGAAAAATTTAGAAATTTATCATACTGAAAAATTATAATGAAATATATAGAAAATTATAGAAAAACATTGAAAAATGTACAAACTATAGAAACATATAGAAATATAGAAAAATTATGTAGAAAAAATATAAAGAAAATTATAGAAAAACATTGAAAAATGTTGAGAAAATATAGGAACATATAGAAATACAAAAAAAAATATATAGAAAAAATATAGAAAAAAGATTTTTAAACAAATTTATAAAAAAATTGATACTGCTTGTTACTTGATCCTAAATATCCAATAAAATCTGAGCATAATTACAGCCATTACAATAATTATATTATAATATATTATATGATTATTTTATATTATATAATTATTTTATATTTTATAATTATTTTATATTTTATAATTATTTTATATTATATTATTTATATTTTTATGTATCCAATTAATGGGTATTTTCTATGTCGCATCATCGACCACCAGAGCATTCCTACTTGTGATTTCTTTCGATTTTTATTTGTTTTGTTCACTCGCAATTTTTATGCCTTTATTGTGTTTACTTTTTGCCTTCGCCGTCGCCGTCGCCGTCGCCTTCGAGGTTTTCTGCAAATGCTTTTAAGACTTGAAGACTTTTCAGTTTGTAGTTGAGCGTACAAATTTGTGCCCGGCTCTGGGCCTCCCCCCCCTCACCAGGGACCCGGGCCAGGAACAGGATCGTAAGTGTATCCGTGCGCGTGTGTTGGTGGGTGCGTGTATCTGTGTATCTTTTGCTGAGACTGCGACTGAGGCCTGATGCTGATGATGACACAACATGAAAAGGTAAAACACGCTGAAAAATATTAAATACGCTACGTCGCTGCCTTTTGACAGCGGACGTAAATTTGCTTTTGCCTGCTCAGCCCCTGCCCCTGCCCCACTCCCCTCGATGCCGGGGGACTGTTTAATTGCACATGAGATCGGTGGCAAGTGTGGGACCCGGACCGGACCTCTCAGGATCTCCTGGCAATTAAAATAGAGTGTAAGTTAAGGATGCATAAAACGCTCATCTTTATTGTCAAGCCACCCCCCCCACCCTCACCCAGGCTCCACCGATTCCCCAGAGGCCATAATGCTTAGTCGGGAGTAGTTTCTGTTTCAGGGAATCGAGATCAACGGATAAGTAGCCGTCTGACTTGCTCTTATACCGTCTGAGATATGCTCTTGGGGGCCTCCTTTGAACCAGTTTGCTTCGATCTAGGCGTACAGGCCCCTCTGTACCTCTTGAAAGAGGCAAAAGGGGGCCACAGAAAAGGCTCAGCTTTTGCTAATATATATAAGAAATAGATTCCCAAGTGAAACGCACTGTTTCTTGGGCTAAAGGATGTCATTATGGCACCTATAAATCAACAGAATTTTGCTCATTTCCTTCATGTGTCATGTGGGACAACAAACAGTCCGGCGAAAGGGGGATCTGTGTCAAATTTGCGGGCAGAATAAATGAAGTTAATTAAATTCTGAATATGGCACACAAACAATCCCAAATCCAATCCCATGTGCAGATGAAGTTGAAATCAAATCTTGCATATCGCCGCCCTCACACAGACTTCACACCGCAGCCCCACAGTCTCCCCCCCCAGTCCCAGAGCCTCAGGAATACAAAGAAAAAAAGAAGCATATGCGAACGGGTTTAGAAGCTTTGGAGCTTGCTCCCATTTCCCACAATTGTTGCCATAGAGGGGCTTGGGGGGGGGCAACAATATCGTTTCCTGCAGTGCCCCACAAAGCGAAATCCTCATCAACAACAAGCTG